GACATCATGTAGTAAATCTTATAATGATTTCATGTAAGCGTATCAGAGACCTTTGAGGGAGGATGGAAAGCACGTGGCCTTTGGAGTCAGCCAGCTCTGAGTGAATCTCAGCTCTGCCAATGCTCTGCGGAGCCCTGGGGAAACCCTAGCTGACATTTCTGTGAAGTGTGTGTTGCAGTGTCTACTTTGTGGAAGGGACTGGTGTGAAGAGTAGCCGCGGTGCACGTTAGCCACCTTGCAGGGAAACTGCAATGTAGTGCATGTTTCATAAGTGATACTTATTGTTAAGGCTTTCTTGGGCTTGACCAAGATATTTCGTGAACATAATTACAATTTTGAAGAAGTATCAGAAAAAGGTTAAGACCTGAGTCCCAAGGTACGACAGCCATTGTAAGCGAGTTCCTGGGACTTTAGAAGGGCTTACTCTTTCAGTCATAAGCCAGTCATTTAATAAATCATTGCTCCTTTGAATTAAATGACACCTTTGTGGTTTAAAGGTGTTAATGTGCCTTCCAGAGTCCTTAACCTGCTCTCAGGGAATCACTTACAGCTTGGGAGGCTCCAGTTCATTTTGGAATATTGAGAGCTTAAGTGGAAGAGTCAGATTTTAATCTGTAATGTTTTATCATCTTTGCCTTTTTATTTTTTGCAGGCAACCCCCACCCTAACAAGTGCAACAGTATCTAAAAATCCATCATTCCTGTTCCACTGTTGGGCTCCAAGTGCACCAATCCATCATCTTAACACTATTTACTGCAGAGTTTGTCTCAGCAAAAGGTTGGGTGAATGTGAATTGCACTAAAGAGCCTTTAGTGTCCACACAGTCTAGTGCCTGCTTGGGGGGTTTGCACTTGCTGCTTTTATCTGCCAGGAACAATCTCGGGCTTTTCCTCCTTCTGGTAAGTTCCTACTGGGATCCCAGCTTAGAATTCCTGTCCTCAGGGCAGCCTGACACTCTCCCCATCCCCAGGTGTATCTGTATCTCGTGCTTTCCTATCAACCTATGTATTTTCTACACACACTTGTCATAAATGCAATCAATTCATGGTTCAGTGTTCTCCTCCCCTACTGCTCTCTGAATTTTGGAGGGGTGAGGACAGTCTTATCTTGCTTTACATTGTATCTCTTTGCATCACAGGTAGTAGGTTTGTACCTGGCCCAGAGTAGGCATCCAAGAAATATTTATTGCATGAATGAATGGATACATAAAATACCATAAGGTAATCTCTTCCTCAGTGCAGTTCTCTGTATAGCAAAGAAAAAATATGAGTCAGAGGAAGTCCCTGTATCCTTGCCGAAGGTCATACAGCTGGTGTGAAGGAGCAGGACTGGCATCAGGCGGGGGCACACCTTGGACCCAGGGGGACCCCATCCCTGATCCAAAATTCCCATTTCCCATCTGGCCCTAGGAAGCTGGGTGCTGCCTTTGAAGAAGTTGGCCCAACACTGCTATTCCAGAAGAGAGAAGCCTGGTCAGAAGTATAAGTGTGACAGTCAGTCTCCTTGCACAATTGCCCGGATTTGGTTGGTTTGTTCCCCCACATTATTGCTATTTAAATACAGTTTTGATGATTTTGTTTGCTTTGGAAGAAGAAAATAAAGATTCACAGAAGGTATAAAATTGCATATTATTTACCCCAGAGAAGAAAGGAGTCCCCCTAGTAAATACGCATTGAAGCATTTTTATTTGTATTTGTATTTTTTTAAAGATGTTTAAATAGACCCAGTAGACCGTAATATCTCTTTACAGAGTTGGTGCCATCTATTGATTAAATATGCATTTATACATTTCTTCCGCTACTTTTTTTAAATAAAAGAGACATATGTTTTAATCATATAATAGACCTACAAGAACTGATCAGTGAAAACACGTATTTCTGTGTTTCCTTAAGGCAGATCATATTAGGCATAGCAATTTAAACAATCATTTCCTGCTATACATCGAAGTGTGTTAAATGTGAATTTCATTAGAAGACTCAGAGTATGCTCCTGTGTGTGCATGTGTGTGGACTAGGAGAAATGTTGGTAGAATAAATGGGTGTTTTTAAAACAAAAATATAGTTGACAGGGAAAGGTGAAAGAATGTGAACTCTGGAGTAAGAAAGACCTCAGTTTCCTTGCCACTTATTAGGCTTAGAGGAGGGACTCGAGACTCTCTGTAAGTTGTTCTATTTATTTATTTATTTATTTATTTATTTTATTTATTTTTTTGAGACGGAGTCTCGCTCTGTCACCCAGGCTGGAGTGCAGTGGCCGGATCTCGGCTCACTGCAAGCTCCGCCTCCTGGGTTCACGCCATTCTCCTGCCTCAGCCTCCTGAGTAGCTGGGACTACAGGCGCCCGCCACCTCGCCCGGCTAGTTTTTTGTATTTTTAGTAGAGACGGAGTTTCACCGTGTTGGCCAGGATGGTCTCAATCTCCTGACCTTGTGATCCGCCCGTCTCGGCCTCCCAAAGTGCTGGGATTACAGGCTTGAGCCACTGCGCCCGGCCTTGTTCTATTTATTTATCTGTGAAATGGGCTGGCAATAAAGGTACAGAGAAAATTTATGAAGTTCCTAGGATTGTGATTGGCCCACTACAGTTTAAGGACAGTTTGTTCCTGTCTGGCCACTAGCTATTGAGTGGTGGTGTGTGCCCCTCTTTCCTGGAGTGGGGTCGGGACTGCACGGAATGTACCTCCATGTCCTTAGGTGCTACCGCACAGGCAGTGCTGGGACTCGGTGCCCTCCTAGGCTGCCAGTGCTGCTCCTTCTCTCTCCTTGTGGTTAAGAGTGCCAGTGGTGAAGGCAAGCCTTGAACTGGGGCTCCACGCCTGGGCAGCTCTGCAATGTTGGGGATGTCATTAAAACTCTTTGAGCTCCAGTCTCTCCCTCTAGGCTGTGTGGGTGATAGATAAATAGGGGATTTGTAAGGTCAATACCTGAGTAATTGGCATGTGCATATTCAATAAAATGATAGTGCCTAACACGATAATTTCTTCTAGGGAATCACTCACTTTGGAAACAGAAAAACCCAGGATTAAATTTTGGCTGTCACTAACTAGCTGTGTGACCTCGGATAAATTACCTAACCTCTCTAAGTCTCGGTTTCTTCATCTCTCAAAAAGGCGTAATTACACCTTCATAGAGGACACGGATAGGAGTTGACTGTGATAATATTTTTTTAAAAAAAATCTAGCCTGCAGAGGGCGAATACATGATGTCTGTTATCCGTAGAATGCTATCAGTCACCACGTCCTCCTAACTCTTCTGCGTTCCACACACAACCCCCTTCTTTTCCTCTTCCACCTCTACCACCAGTTCCAGGATCTATCAACCTTGGGCCATGCCTACTAACAAGTAAGCTTGCCACAATCCCTCCTGTACACTTCACCCAGATTGATTTCCATAAATTAACTCCCTCTCATTCACAGCACTCCCCTGCTCAAAAAGAAATTAACTTTTTTTCCCAGCAGGGGGGAATTCCTGAATCACTGGTCTAGGATTCAAGGTCTTTCTGTCTTGGTCTCCCATCTCCTCCCCTAACTCCCTCCTGCAGGGTTTCTGGCTGTGTCTGCTCTCTTCCCATCTGTGAGACGTCCGTCTCATTTCTGTGGCCTATCTTGTCTCTCCCACCATTTCAAGTCAGTTGTGTTCTCCAGTGGATTCAGCCACTGGTAATAATTCTGGATTTCTGCAGGATTCCAGCATTACCTAAAGGATTCACATATCAATTTGCTTGTGAACCACATGTGTGCAGTGATGAGGTGTACACAATTCGACTCGAATACTATGTATGTGTCCTATTATTTTTTATGTACATTCGCAAAGTCACAATGCTAACTTTTGGCTGATCTCTTGAAATATATTGCATGCCCTTTATAGATAAGAACAAATCATATTCTTCATATTCCCAGCCTTGAAAAGATGACTGTGTTAAGTAGGTACTTCATGAGTGTCAGCGGACGATACGACCATCGTCTGTTTTCTGTTGTACTGCCGAAGTTTTCTGACTTGTTCGTAAGGAGGGAAGTAATCAATTGTTTTACTTCTTTAAAAATAAACAGGATTTATTTTCTAGGAGAAGAGCTCAGTCAGGCCCAAAGAACTTGTTGGCAATTGGCTGCTTTATAAAAACGTTGTAGATTTTGCAGTAGGACAGACCTAGGTTTTTATCCTAACTCATTAGCTGTGTGGCAAGTCACTGAACCACTCTCAACTTCATTTGAAAATTCAGGGGTCATAATGCCTACAAGGAAGGACTCTGGTGAGGATTAACTAAAGTGATAGAGGTGAATACCTGCCCATAGTAGGTGACTTGGGCAAACTTTGGGAATTGCAGCAAAGGAGGAAGGGAGAATTATCTCCTGTGGAGTGTCACTCACAGACCTCGAGGTGTGGACACATGGAACTGGGAAGGAATCCAAGCCACTCGAGGTCTTTGGAGGGCACTTGGGACAGAAATAGTCTGCTCAGTCCCGTCTCTAATACCTAGTGCTATCTTGATCACAGACCCTCCAAGTTCAGCATCTAGTTCAGTGGCAGCATAACTCAGTCAGCAAGGTGTGCTGCCTACAAGCATGTGTTAGGGAGGGCAAGCAGGCCGTTTTAGAGCAGGGCAAAGTTCTGGGGTTTCTCACACCCAGAGATACTGCCTCCCTGTGTAAACTGTCTGTGTAAACTGCTGTTCCAGAGGAAGGGACAGACTGGACCCTGAAAAGGAGAAGCAAGGAAAAAAAAAAAAAAAACCCAGAAGGAAGCCACAGGTATCCTTCCCTGGCCTTCTCCTCGTGAAGATTTCCGATGACTTCAGCAAGTTTCCGCCTCCTTGAGATCTAATCTGAATCTGTCCCTGCCTATGCTGTAATCATAGCAATTGTTTGGGCTTCTATAGCATCTTGCCTTGGTAGAGTTTCAGAATGCTCTGATTGTGGGGAACTGGCCAATTCTCCTTGCATCGTTGGTTTAAAACTATAACATGCCCATCTCCTTGCTGGGAAAACCAATTGCTTCCAAGTGCTGTTAATGGCCGAATGGAGGGGTGGGGTGCAGATTTAAATGTCTGAGCTCTCCCTGTGGGTAGCAGTTCCTGCTCCATCCCTGCCTGGAGACTAGGAAGAAGGAAAAATGATAAGGAACTGGCGTGGGCATTAGTCACATTTCTGCCAAGCAACCTTTCTTTCGTGGTGTGCCCTGAGCCCTGCTGGCAGTGCCAGGCCCTCTCCACTGCCCACCAAGGAGCTCGTGTGTGTTCACGTGTCCACGTGAGCCCCACACCAACATACTCACACAGATAGCAACACGCAGGGCTGTGCTCCGGTGAGGGAGTGAGTGAGGGGCCGGCTTCGACTCCCCCTTGGAGTCAAGCCTTCCAAGCAGGAAAGTCTCCTTGCGTCGCTCAGAAGAGTGGAGCCAATGCGTGCCTTGGAGGAGGTCTGCTCTGAGCCCTGTACAGATTGGTGCTGATGATTCTTACCAGTTGTGTGTATGTGCAAGAAAAAAAATCAGAGACGCTGCCTGCCTGCTCCCATCTCTCGCGCTCTCTCTCTTCTGCTCTCTCCCTCCCTTTGCAAACATTGGATTTAAACCTGCTCAGAATTCAGCACAGAGGAAGGCAGCAGTGGTAGCAGCAGCAGAAGCAGTAGCAAGCCCGGCAGCTGAGAGCACCGCAGCGTCGAGATGTACCATCCTGCCTACTGGGTCGTCTTCTCGGCGACAACTGCCCTGCTCTTCATCCCAGGTACCGTACAGGGGAAGGGTGTTTTCTCTCTCTGGGGCGATTGTACGACGTGAGAGCAGGAGAGGCAGCGGGGAGATGGAGAGGCAAGGAGGAAGGGGTGAGGACGGGGAGTGTGAGATGCATGTGAGTGACAGAGGTAGGCTTGCTGTGTGCACGCACACACACACACACTCACACACACGCAAATGCTTTCAGCACGGGATTTGCTCTCTATTCCGGGGACCAGTGAGCTGGGTTCGAGATCTGCACCATGCTGTGAGGCACTGCTGTTTCAGTGAAAGGCACCAAGTGGCATTAACCAGTTGTGGTCCTGGGGGTAGGAGAAGAGGGGTTTGAACTCCCAGCCATAAATCCTTCTTGCTGCCTATGTTGGGACCTGCAGGGTGGAAGGGGCACTCTCTCTTCTCTCTCAGTCGTGGTGGTGTCTCTCTGTTTCTGAATCAGTCCAGATCTCTGCACCTCCCTGTCTCTCTCTCTGTCTCTCTTCTCTCTCTCTCCGTCTCTCTTCTCTCTCTCTCCACCTCTCCCCACTCTCCTCCTCCCTCCCTTCCTTCGGAACTGCTTTCCCCTACCCTCTCCCCCTGGAGCTCCTTCTCAGCCCCATCCCTCCTTCTCCGCTCACTCATCTGCTCCTGCATTTCTTGTAACACAGACCTTCTACTGCCTGCCATCCTTTCTTTATCCTTCCACCAAATGGGCAGATTATGCCCTTGAAATTCGGAATGCTGTCAGTATCTCCCTGTTCCTTACATCAGGAATGTGCATTTCCCTTGGCAGAATTTGGAATGCCCCTGCTGAGGGAAGGTTGGAAATTTGGATTTGCCTAATTCTCCCCAGCCCCTTCCCCACCTTGTCTAATGATTTAAATGTAATCCCACCTCTCACAGCAGTTACTTGTTTGGGGAAAACAAATCTGCAGTGACACAGGTAAGATGCTGCAATCCTACCAAAATGAGCTTAGCAGAAGCATTGCAAAATCCAAGGCATCTTAATAGATTTGATAATTGCACAGGAGTCCTTTGCAAGCAGACAACTGAATGCCTGCAGGCATCTTTCAAACAATGCCGAAGGGGCTAGGTTATGCTTGCCAAGGTTTTAGGCAGCAGCAAAAGTGTCGGTTTCCATACCAAACCCCCGCACAGTCAGGATCTCTTTTTTTTTTCCCCCAAATTGTGATACATGCATTGGATTAAACATTAGCTTAAACCTAAATTTTCATACATATATACCCAGACCTGAATGCTAAGATTTTAAAACCTTACCTATCTTTTTTTAGGTAAAACATACAATTTTATGTTTTTATATTCAGTATTACTTGGTAGGGTTTTGTGGAAATATTTTGGGGATGTTGTTTTTAATAATGTAATTCCCTGAGTAGTCCTAAGATGCCAAAGTGAAATCAGAAAAATGGAAGTTTACTGGGGAGAAAGAAGAGAGGATCAACTAAAACAAGTAATCCAGCCTGTAATGTTTTGTAACGCCTTGTGAAGATGGCACTTTTTAAAGCAGGGATGGGCTCTGCATAACCATGTTCCCAGCTGTTTGTTTTAGGCTGACCAAGAAGTTCAGAGTGGGGTTTTGTAGTTGCTGTTCTTCCAAATTCCAGCAGCATCCTAGGGGGTTCAGCCTGGGCGGCTGTGCTCAGCAGGGAAGGCAGAGCCAGCGGAACACTCAGTACCTGCCTGAGCCTGGTAGAGGGAGCCAGGTGGGTGCACTGGGTCCGCCGCAGGAGAAGACAAACTTTCCTGCGTAGGCAAGTCCCCGGCTGGACGGCAGCTCCGGGGGGCCTCCTCATACCCGCTTCCCCTCCTCTCACTGTGCTGGAGCAAAGATCAGGACTCCCATCCCGAGGGAATTCTGGCTGTGTGGATGCGCCCCTCACGGCGGAAATCAGAACATTACACTTTAGAAAGCAAGGCAGGGGGGTGAGCCCCAGTCTGCCGAAGCTGCATTGCAGTGCGCCCTGAAGGAGCCAGGAGCCAGGGTGAGACCTCCCTCTAGGGGTCCCGTGGCACTGCATTGGTGGGGAGCAGGCAGACCTTGCTTGCAGGAGAAGTACCCATAACTAAAGCAGGCTGAGGGAAAGGAGGATGAACCTGTGCCCCTGTCTGAATGTCCTGAGCATGGTGGACGACAATGACAAGCCATCCCCTGGTCTTCTGGGGGAGGGCAGGGCACGGACATCGCTGCAATGTCCCCTGTCTCTGAAGAGTCTGTTACCTGCTTTGAGGGCTCCTCTTATGCTAATTGTGTCAGGAGCCCGGGAAAAACAAGAACAGGGAGGAGAAAAAGTTAGCCTTAGAAGGTATAAGTGAAAGAACGCTTCACATCTTGAGGGGTTCCTGTGGGAAACCTGGCTGGATCTGGAAGTTCTGATAAGCTGCCATGGCTTACTTGTGACTTCTCCTGTCTCTTTTCTTTTACTTCCTGTTATAGCTTTAGACTTTTTTTTCTTTGTTTCAAATGATGACGCTTTTTCTCCCACAGGGATTAATACCAGCTTGTTAGCCACTTACTTTCCCTGTGTCTAAAGACCGAAGGCTGATGTAATAATGGAATCTTGACCTGGTTAGGCCTTGATGCCATTTTATTCTGCAGCTTCTATTTCTTCGTAAAACACGTTTCCATCCCAGAATAATTTTAAGGTTAATGCTGTTGTCGCCTGGTACCTTCCACGGGGAGACTGATGTCACAGATAGCTTTTCTAGGCAGAATTTCTGGGATGGAAAAGACAGTCACACGTGGAGACAGTGATGAGCCCACACCCAAGACAGGGCAGAGGGCCAGTGGCCAATTGACTTGTCACGCTAGAGGCACAGTCTGAGGCGCTGGACACCCCTGGTGGGGGTAAGTCTGTTGTTCCAGTAGGAGGAGAGAGAGTCTGGGCTGGTGGCTTCCTTGACCTTGGGTCTGGGGGCTCTGTAGGAAGCAGGAAGCGAATACTGCTAAATACATGCATCAGAATCACCTAGGAGGAGAGAGGCCAGTTAAAATGTGGAGTCCCTGTCCTCATCTCAGCATTTGGAGCTAGCATCCCAGATCCTTCTGATGACCTGCAAACCACTCTGTCTGTCACTTAAAACCTGTGCCCGTGACCTACAGTATTTGAGTATTTGAGTCAAAACCCATCTTCTTCCTGCTTTTTCTCCTCCAACTTTGAGAAATGGCTCTGTGGCCATGGGGCAGGGTGGAGTAAGGGGGAGAAGGTGTTGTCATTGCCAGCAGCCTCAGTTCCTGAGGCGTGGTGCTGCCCAAGGCCTGCCAGGGTCCAGTGCCATGATGCAAGGACTGCTAACCTGGAAGGCTTCTTTGCTCAAATTCAGACCATGACTTCCTGTTTGTCCCCTTCTTGGCCCATCATTGTCTTGTGAGTCTAAGCAGGGATGTTAGCTGGGAGGGGTCCCCATTTACCTAACCTGGACTGAGCTGTGTCCTCATGCACTGATCTGTGAGCCTTGGTTCTGGCTACAGCTTCATCTCTTGCACCTTAAACAGGCTTTGCCTGTTTAGGGTCAGAAAACCCTGGGCTTGGATAGAAAATTCCCCGAGGTTTAGGATTCCTCCTTCTCCAGCACACACCTTCCTACTACTTCCTTCAGGGAAGTCCCCAAATCTTGAGTTTCTGGGCTGGGATGTTTGGCTTTGGGGTAAGGCCTGGGGGTGGGCTCTACAGCCAAGTTTTGATGAATTCCTTTCCTGCTCCTTAGCCTCTCACCAGCACAGAGCCAGGGAACCTGCTAAGAGTGCCTGATGTGCACAAGGGGTCTAGTGGGGGAATCCACACGCCAGACTCACTAAGAAAGAGATAGGAACAAGAACGGAGCATCTGGTCATGAGCAAGTCCTCAACACCCTTTAGGCCATCATGGATTCATGCCATCATGTGGCCCCCAATCCCTTAAAAATGATTGACATGTTAATAAGGTTAGACCGCGTCGTCTGCATTCAGCACGGGCCCAGTGGCAATAGCAGGCGCTGAGAAGGAGATAGCGTCAGCTGCCTCATGAAGATGGCTTTTTCAGTAGCCTGGAGCTCGGCAGCACTACTCAACCTGAGATTAATCAGAGATCCTGACGGGCCTGAGGTTCTCCCATGTTCCCTGGGTCCTGTCTGCCTTTGTGCTTTCTCGAATTCTTAGCAACCTTGGCCACATCTCTGTAACCTAGAAAATTACAGAAGGAGATTCTTTAAACAGCTGGCACTTGCCTGCATTTGTTGTCTGGCAGCTCTGGGCCTGGGTCTCCCATGCCAGCTACTGGGAACTACCTCTGGTGGTTACAGCCTCAAATCCGTGTCAGGGTTGCCTGGGGCTGAGTGCACTTCTCTTTAGGTGGGACTCCCTCCAAGCCTCTTAAGTATGCTGAAAGCTGAGAGTGATCTCTTTGATTAGTTGCTTTTTGAGGCTTATTTGGTTGGCTCAAGGCATCCTCTAAGTCTCAGTTTACCAATCTGTAGAATGGGTTCCAGCCATGTATGAACCTTGTTTCCAATTGGACAGAGTAGCTGAACACCTGGGTTAGATGATAACAAATAAACATTTGTAAAATTTTATTATTAAAAAAACTCATCCTGGTCCTCTAGGAACAGGGCAAAGAGAGATGGCAACTCACGTGTTGGAGGAGAGAGGACGTTCCTTATTGTTTAAAATGGGAGAAGATAAGGTAGAATCATACTGATCATGTATGTATGTCTTTGTCACAGTGATGAAAATTAGTAAAAGACAATCTAGTCCTTCATTTATTGACCAAGACTTATAGGTTATAAGGTATAGGTATATAGGTATATAACCTTATAGGTATATAACCTTATATATAGGTTCTGATTAAACATAAGGCATTAAGATATTCTCCTGCCTCAAAAGCCATTAATCCAGTAAAATAGGAAGATATTAAGCTTTTTCTTCTTTTTGACCCCCAGTGAAATATACATTCTGACTTTGAATTTTTAGGTCTCAGTTTTTCTGCTGTAGAAAACTAGGGCAACAGACATGGCACCTTTGGT